GTCATTCGTCCTTGTTTGTCCCCAGGTCAGGGAGAACAAAGTAGCAGGTCTGGGTCCTGGAATCAGGCTGGCCAGGTGGGTCAGCTACAGGTGGCACCCCAACACAGGGCTCGGGAATCAGCTCAGCTACATTCTCCAGCCTTGCAGATGATTCTTTTCCTTTTCCATCCTCTTTCACCTTGACCTCCTCCTCTTTATTCATGGGCATTTGTGTTCTAGAGACACTTGGTTTCCAATAAAATCACATGAGGAAAAAGTAAAGTAGTCCATCTCTTAACAGCTATATACTCATATTTTCAGCATGGAATTATATATCTTTAATTAAAAATAATAGTTAAATGAACATATCAAGTATAGCATTATAGAAATTTATTTTTCAACTATCATCCATTAAAATAATCTATAAAAAATGTGATCTTATCTTGGTGCAGAAGTACATTTTAAGCAAAGAAGAAGCTGCATTTCATGGTTGTTAAATGAAGAGTCTCCTAGAGTTTTACTTTTATAAGATAATAGACTTTTTCACATACGAAGTCTTCAAAATTCATAAGTAGAGAATCTTAAAAACCATCTAATTAAAACATGGCATAGGGGAATCTAAGAGTCTGCTTGGGTCAATTGCTTCTTGGCTTACTTTTACGAATTGGAATTATTTTTGCTTACTAATGACAATAGAAAAACATCAAACTATTTCCACATATCAAGGTTATCCTGGTTAATGAAGAACAGGGTCCTCAATCATAACAATGCTCTGTTTATAATACTTGGGTAAATATTCATAAGGAAAAGTAGGATAAATAGGATATTATCATAGCATTTAGAATTTTGTGCATGAATTCTTTTAGCATGGTATCCAGCATTATTTTTCTGTTCATACTTTTTTTCTATAATTGTCTATTTACTTAGCTTTTTTCTTTTTTACAATTCTACTTTCATGTTTTTCTCTGTTATTTTTGATCTTTACTTTTATATACATCTAACAAAAAATTTTAAGGACTTGTGTAAACTGAAATATTTTGTGTTTGACCACTAAAATCAGGAACAAAATATGATCCTGAAAATTCTCTGCAGAATTCCCCAGGCAAGTTATTTATAAGAATTACCTTTAGTGTCTTCATGATGATTTTAATTCCTGATTACATCTTGCCTGACTTACTGTGGTAGGTATATAACTCATGTCCCTGACTCCAGTTTTTTTTATCATATCTTCTAAACCATCCACAACTCTAGTCCAAGTGACATTCATAAAATGCAATTCAGCATGCCACTCCTCTGCAAAAAGACTTGTTTTACTCTCTTCTGAATTAAGCCATGAGTTCTTTCTCTTGGTATGGAAGCATTTAAAATTAATATCTCTGTTTTTGCTCCAGTTATAGTGACTAACATGTATTTCTAGACATGCCTTCAATTCTTTTAAATGCAGTTATTTTCCTAATAAGCAAAGTTCTTTTTCCTTTTTTTTTCTTTTGCCTGGATCAACCTGCATAAGTATTATTTCCATTTAATGAATGATGCCAGAGCTTATCGCCTTCATGCACTGTCTTGAATAAAACAGAGACTGCTCTACTGACATTTGTTGGAGCACCTTAAGTGTTCCCAATGTTTGTACATTAAAATCTTGACTTTATAATTTCTGTGAAAACAGAAACAGTGTATTATTATCATTTGTTCCTGACAGCTAAAAGGGAATCAATAAATGAAACATTAAATGAATGAGAAGGATTGTGGATGGATATGATTAGATGAGGATTCCAGTAGTTGCTTCTCTTTATAAAGGCCAAAACAATGCAATTGGAGAAAAATAAAATATTTTTTTGTCCAATTCTTTGTAGAGTGTAATTCTGGGTCTGAGATCCCACAAAGTATAAGACAGAGAGGTAGCACTGTGTATGTCCTACCTAAAGCTAAGTCCAGTACATGAAAGAGGAAAAGGCTGAATTAAAGTAGTTAACTGTCACACATGGCTGTTCTGTACTCTGCTCCCAAAAGATGCCTGGAAAGCCAGATTTGAGGAGGTGGGGTGGGAAGCAGAGAGCAAGGCAAAGACTGGGAAAGAGAGGAGGGGGGGGGCGAAATGAGAGAAATCTAGGAAGGGAGAAAAGAAAATGCAAGATAATTACCTGCCATGATTAAAAGGTTTCATTTTTCAAATAACTTCTCAATCTATTCCTACCATGTGAGTGAGATGTTAAGATCTATTTCTAGACTGAATTATCTACTATAGTGCAAAATTTTGATAAATAATTATCTTCTTATTTTATCTATAAAAATATTAAGACAGACTCATTTAATCACCATAGCTAAGCTTGACTGGGTGCCTGCAAGGCCCTGAAGGATTGCCATTACCCACCTGACCTGAGTATCAGGCCTTGAGCCTCACCTGTGAGCATCTGAGGGCAGAAGCTGGCCCATCCTTCCAGTTCACAGTGGAGTGCAGCATATCCCTCTGCTCATTTCTGATATGCAGGCTCTGTTCTTCCCACAGGGAATAGGATTCTGACAGGCACTTTATCTCAACACATTGAGTTTCATATGAAATTGTCACTTTTTCTTGCCGCCTTGCTAGTTAGTTCAATACCATGAAGAGATACACAGAGTGAGATTTTACATTGAAGTCAAGCCAAGAGACTCTCATTTCAGGGGAAATGCACTGCTTTACACAACTAAGGAAGAGCAAGAAATGGAGAAGGACAAAAAGGACAGTAATGACAGGGCATTTTATAATAATATGTAAGCACTTCATGTGTAAATTTGTTTGTTCACACCTATATTCTAAGTTAATTTTCATAGCTAAGAATATCATCATATACTTTATTTTCATTATTGGAAAAATGAAGTTTAATCAATAGCTGAGATGGGCATTTTAATTTCCAGATCCAGCCTTCCTTGCATGGTGTAACAACTTATAAGTGAATTTATAAAAGTGAAACAGGCCAGTATGGGTTTATCTGTCTTCATTACTGTGTGAAGAATAACCTGACTCATACATTTTGGGAAATATTTGTTAGTCCTGTTTGTCAGTATTTGATGACCAATTGAGCATTTTCCTCATTTAATGGCCATCTTCTCTTGGCAGCTGCTCTAGCCTGTACTTCAATGATTAGGATTTTTGAGCCTGTGAAGCTTTTCCACTGCTTTGTGTTAGGTATAAAGAACATAGAGCACCCGGCTGCTCTTCGGTTTCAAAATCATTTCCAGAACTGTTTCTCGTTCTCTTAAACTGGAAAAATACTTGGCCAGGTTTTGCTATTAACTTCTCATATTTGCTTCTCGTGACTTCTATTAAAGAAACTGTAAGTGGGTAAATAAAGAATGCCACAAGGGTGAAAAAGAATGAAAAGGATTCTAGTAGCAGGATTTGAATGCAGAAAAGCAGAAAGTCAGTGGCAATCAACTTCACAGGACCGTCCCTGAAACACAAGCCAGCAGAGACCAGGCCAGGTTGGTCAGGTTGGAACAGTTCCAGGAACACAGGCGTGTGTGGAAACCAGCAGTCCCACGTATCTCGGGAGCTAGAGACAGCTGGAGCTAAAAACAGGCGTGCTCTGAGATGACACTAAGCCAACAACAGTTTGGCTAGGAGGCACCACGCATTTCTGAACCTGAGTGTATCACAAATAAAATAGGGGAAATAATGGAAATCCGACATTGAAGAATCAGACTTTGGTTAACCAGGACACTTCCAGCGTGAGACTGAGTGACTCTTCAGTGTTAAAACAGCCACCTCCAAATGAACTGCACACCTACAACAAAAGTTGGCTAATACCTGGGAAGGAAATTATGAACTTTCCTTTACATAAGCACATGAAGATTCAAATTTAAAAATTTTATTTCCTAACTTTTATATGAGTTGATGGCCAAAATGAAAAGATACTGGATGAATAGAGAACAAAACAAAACAAGATAAAACAAATAACCACTAACATGCCAGAAGGACCTGGCCAATCAAAAGGAATACATAAGTATCTCAAAGAAAAGTAAAATACAAACAATAAAAAAAAAAGAAAATTTTAAAACAACTTTCCAGGATAGTATTTAAAGATGCACATAATTTTAGCCATAAAAAACAAAAAGAGAATTAAACAGAAAAAAATAGCCAAAAGAACAAAATATCAGAGACTTAAAAAAGCTCTGGAAAACTCCAAATAGGAGGCTTTTAAAAAATAAAATACTTGAGAATATGATGAAAGTTAAAAATATACCTCAAAGGTTATAAACAACACCAGAAATATAGTAAGTGGAAAAAAAGAGAAAAATAAGAAAGTTGGAGGTTTACTCCAGGTATTTCAAGTATTAGATACTTAAAAAGACAGGAAGAAATAGAGTTGAGAAAAATCTTTAAAAAATTCTCATGATTGAATGTAGTACAATTATAGATTTTTATGACTCAAAATATATCCAGGCCTTTGGATGATGAAAGCCCCGCTTTCTATGCCTTGTGAACAGATATCCTGCCACTTATAAAAAGCTCAGTTATCAGGATGGAACCTTTTCTTAATAATCCTGTAATTTCAATGACAATGACAGTTACATATCTATTCAAATAATTTTAGACTATAAATCTACAGGCAGACAAACTATTCAGAAAAACATTTTCATTTCCACACGTTCTCAGTGTTTTTCTCAAGTATTTTTCCTCAGGAAGATACTAAGATCATTTGCTTCCCTTTAAGGAGGGTGAAATGAAGCAAAAAGAAATGGGTTTCAGGCAAGAGATTTTTCAACACAGATGAGACATAAAGAGACCCCCAGAATGATGATGATGATGAAGAGAGTCCCTGAGGAGTGAGAGTTTCCTATCAGCAAAAACAACCACTCCAAGTTACAAGAGATAAAAGTATTTTAAAAAAAATGAAAGTGTCTCAGTAGAATCAAGTATTAATGTACAAAGCAGGTTAGCTAATTACCAATCCCAAGAGGATTCTCATTGTGAGAAAATGAACCAAAGTCAGCACCATGGCAACCACTGAAAACAGTAGTCACCATTCTTAGACCCACTTTCTGTCACACTACAGTCCAGGTGCCGTGTGCATTGGTTACTGCACTCTCTTGAGTCTCGTGATACAGAAAACACACACAACACATTAGGCACAGCATGTTTAATACTTGAAGATAGTCATCAAGGGAGAGAGGAATCGTGGGATCCGTTGTAAATCTGTGTCCCAAGACTCAGGAAGCTGCCTGTGAATTGAGGCGTGGAGTGTGTGAGCCTCATTTGCATCACAGGTAACAGGGCATGGAAAGCAGCTGTTCTAGTGTTGTATACAGCAGAGACTATGTGTCCAGAGAAGTTACTGCATAACTCAAAATCTTGATTAAAAATTCATATATAGTGAATTTAAAAGTGATACTAAAATTAATGTACATATGTCATTAAGATAAATAAGCATAATATTTAAAACAATATTAGCTAAACTTACTAAAATATTTTCCTAATCATATACCACTTAAGAGATCAAATTCTTTCTTTTATTTTTTTGGTACCGGGGATCGAACTGAGGTCCTTGCGCTTGTGGGACAGATGGCAGAACCACTGAGCTAAATCCCCATCCTCTTAAATTCTTAATATATGTCATCTTCTTTTTAAACCTCATAACAGTACTCAGACAAATGTGGGTATTACTATCTTTAACTGAGCTTCAGGGAAGTAATCACTTTTCTACAGGTCACCCATCTCCCAATATGAGAACATGTTAAACCTTAATATTAGTCAAATTCAGGAATGCTAGTGTTCCACTGTGTTGATTAAATAGTCATTTCTACCAAAAATTTACTTTTCTCATTTTTTATGGCCAAGTAGTACTCCATTTTATTAAAAAAACACATTTTCAAAAACATAAAAAAACCCCAACACATTTTCTTTACCCAGCCTCCAGTTGATGGGCAATTGGGCTGGCTGAATGGATGCACATTGAGGCCATACTCTTAAGTGAAATAAATTGAACACATATGTGTAAATACAGAATAATTTCTCTGGTGTGAGAAACTGAAAGTGTAAATAAGAACTGAAAGGTATAATAGATAATGTGAAGTAGGAAGAAACGGAGCAAAGGGGAAGAAGTGGAAGGGATATGGGAAAGGAAAGAAGGGAATGGGATTAATATGAGACAATGAAAAAATGGAAACAAAGTCTTTGTAAATAGGGTGAGGTGTAGGGGTTGAAGGGAATGAGGGGGGGAGTAAGAACCAAGATAGATTACGTAAAGGTAAAAATTCCCAATGATGAATGTCATTATATTGTATACCTAAAATGTACCAATAAAATTAATTTTGTAAAAATTTACTTTTACCTTGACCAAGAAGCTTTTGTGCCAAGGCCTAGTAATGCTTAAACACTATTGAATGAAATAAATCCTTATCAATCAAAAAAAAAGATATTATTGAATGGAATAGCAATATTATTTTATAGTTCTTTAAAACTAAATAGAGCCATTTAAATTCATGTCTAATCTATACTTTATCCCTTGACATTGCGAAAAAATTATAAGATGCATCAAAAAATACAAATGTGCCATTCTAAATCTTTGTGACAATGCCTTTGACCATCATTGGAAAGTATAGCAATCACTGTTTTGTAGGTTATTTTTGAGGGATGCCTTATGATATAATTAATTGGCTCTGTTAATTATCTCAGTTCTTTTTTTCTGGACCAGAGTGGAAAACCCACTGTTATGCACTGAATGCCATTAAATTAAATTATTTCTCTCAAAATAGAAATATAAACATATAATTTTACTTGCAAATTTTCTACTTTTTCAGAAGAATCAGAGATGTATGGTAGCTATCATGAAAAGAAGCTCAGAGACATCTGTGCTATTAAGCTTTACCTATTCCACCAGATGATTCTAGTTTAGTATTGCAGGGAATTCAGTCTTATAATTCAAGCTCTTATATTGAGGGAGGGTTAATGGTTAAAGTGCTTTATATATCTTAGCAGAGTTTACTCTTACAATACTTCAGTATGATAGTTATATTCTTTTTCTCACATTACAGATGAGGATTCTAAGGGAACAAGAGAGCAAACACCCTTCCTGAAGTCTGCACAACTAGTAAGGAGTCAGAGTTAAGATGTGTGCTTTGGCACCCAAGCTCCAATCCTGGGGCCCTCAAAGTGCCTCATAGGAAAAATGAAAAGCTATGAATAGAGCATATGCATTTGTATTGGGGGACCACAATTGTAAAGTGAATAACCTTAGTCCTTTGACTCTCCGGGGCTCCAATCTTTATCTGTAAAATTGGATTAATAGTGATACTTAGAGTACTAAATAACAGTATATGTGTGAGCAATTTGTATACACTTAAATAACATAAATACTATTCACTTTCAAGGGAAGCAAATTTCCATGACTGACATTTTTCAACACACAGGTTACAAACTAAAATATAGATTGGCAGAAGCAGCAGGAAGGTGTTTCTAACTTCTGACCCCTGTGAGTCTACAGAGCTGAACTGAAGACTCCTTTTAAATTAGGGACAATTGAATGACAGCATGCCCTGCAGTGGGGTTTGCAGAGTGTGGTGTGCTACATCAATAAGCTCACCTATGAGCAATAGAAATTGAGAACTTGGAGAGGCAATGAGATTTTCAGGCTTAATAGGACAAACGTAATTAACTGAATATTAAGTCTTCTTTCCCACAGGACTACTGTGGAGACAGGGCAAAATAGCATAACTCAGTCAATAATCACATAGAAGGGATGAGAAGTATTCAGAAATGAATGCTGCCATGAGATACGTCAGAGAGTGTGTACTCCTGAACACTGTGCTCATCCTATGGTTGGAAAATTAGTGAGGCTTTTTCATAACCCATGAAATTCTTAGACTGCAGATTTGAAGGTCCTGAGTGGCTAAAGCATCAAAATGAAATACAACCTTATAATGAAATAGAATTTTCTCAAGGTCAGGAGGAAAATCTGTGTTCTAAGATCACGGACTTCTAGCTGTATTTTAAATCAAAGAAAAAATTAAAATACCAAATATAACTTCAATAAAATGTTAAGCCTTTTAATCACTGAAAACTCAAATTTGTACTTATTCAGTTAATTAGTAACTGGCACATCAAATGATATGTGATGCCAGTTCTGGTACAAAACAGAACATTAAAAAAATAACTTATAAGTAGGTAGGGGATTTTTTTAAGCAAATAAAGATAAGTAAGAATCTGCAATTGCATTGAAACTCAAAATATGTCAAAATTTAATCTAATTTCCACAGAGAATTATGTCAAATCTTCAAGATTCAGAGCCATTAGTATTTCTAGTGCTTCCACTGCTTAAGCATTCACTTGCCAATTAAACAGAGAGAATTAGTGAGAAATTCAATACAATACTCCATTCTTGGGCTATATATGTTGGATTAAAAGTCCATATATAAGGAAATCTTTTTGTTATAAATTTTAGAACTTTACAATCTTGATTTTCAGTCGTTTATCTTTGTATGTCTCAAATTCCTAAGAGCTAAGAATACATTTAGGTCAACTTGATACATAGAAGCAACAGTTTCTTTTCTTCAGATACTGTTGATGCTGGTCTTGCCTGTTTTCTTAAATGTTGGGTGTATTGGTCTTGCCAGCCTTCTCACCAAAATGCAATGTTGAATACACAAAAATGTGGAAGAACAGATGGGAAAGTAAGTAAATTATGCTAAACTAGGCATTCTGGGGAAGCTGGAAACCTTAGGTATTCCAAAAGTTACATCAAAAACAAAAGCCAACCTACAAAAATTGTGTTCCTAGAACACATGGGACCTGCCTTTATGGTCAAAATGGAATGGAAAGTTTAAAAGAGAACCTAAATTTTCTTGCACTTAGTACAAGAAGATTCGCTGAGGCTCTCACTTTAAGTTTTAAGTGGCTTCTGGAAAGAAAAATCCCTCAAAAAGATCAGCCTATAATAGTCTAAGCAAAACATGAAAACAGTACATTCTTTTGGATGCACCCAGTTATGAAATTATCTTAATGAAAATTTTAAATCTAGTTCCTTTGATAATCCTTTGTAAATCTCCATTGCTTGTCTTTTGGAATCAGAAGGATTCCATTACAATGTACAACAAACTCTTGTTCATTTTAATATTCCCCTCATATATATTCCTTTTCTTTTTTTCTAGTCCACAAATGAGGGTGGGAGAGATTGCTAGGAGAAGATTAAGCAAAAGCAAATTTCCTACATATGGTAACTCAAGAACGTAAGCTCTGCCAAACCCTGCACATCTCAAAATGCTCCCCATTAGGATGCTATCATTCATATGTGTGACACACACTAATGTCATCAGTGTCCAACCAGAACAGCAGAAATAACCTGAAAAAGTACCTTACATGCCCAGTTCCCCTACTTTTTCTTGTGGAGTCAGTGTTGGTCTTCGTAGGGTTGGTCATCAGCAGAATATATGTAGTCCACTAAGGTTGATTGTCACTCAGTCTAGTAGTGTGAAATGTAGGCATATTTTCAAGTTATTTCTTTGAATGTAAGTTCTTCACTAACATTCTTCTCTCTATCCTGATATCTATCTCCCATACTTTATTTTAACCTTCTCAAATAGGTTCATAGGCCAAATTAATAGACCTGAAGTATGAATAAACACTCACTTAGGGTTTTCTACTAGTATTCATTCCTTTTAGGGATCTCTTTTCTTTTTGAGTGATTTCATTAAACCCTTTGTCCTCTTTTTAAATTATATGGAACAACAACCTCTTTGACTCTCCCCTCAGAAAAAAAGAAGTAAAACATCACACTAACATTACTTTCAGTGTTGTACCTCAGACACCAAAGATAACCTTCTAAGCCTTCAAATGCCAAGTGCTTTTATAGACAGGCAGTGATAACTGAAGAAGGAGCCAAGTTACTCCCCAGTTCTATTGTTTTATTAAGAAAATTTTACCTCTAATTGTACTGATGACAGTTATGTTTGAAATAATGCTTCCATTTCTCATCTAAAGTTTCCACAATATGATCTCCGAGTTTAAGTAAAACAAAGAAGAAATATATCACACTACTGTATTGAGATTCAGATACCTGAATTCATATCCAAACTCTACCAGTTACTGACTTTTGTTTGGGGGAATAATTGAACTTCAATCACTTCTCTGCAAACTAATAACAATGTCCATTTTATAGGGTTGCTAGAAATGTTAATAATATAGCAATATAGAACATACCATTTAACATAATAGGCATTCAACAATTTGCTATTTTCATTGAGAATCTTCTTGTACTTAGCCTTTACTCTGTTATATGCAAAGCTAATATTAGAAAAAATTTTTCTCTCAGTTCCTCAAGACAGATAATATTTTCTATGCAGCTAAAAGAATAAGTACTTGCTTAAGTTCCCACTAGGGTAGGAAGAACAGTCGGAATTTTAACTCAAGTTGTCTGAATTTTAGAACACAGACACACATACACACATGTGTGAGTGCAAGATACATACACAAAATAAACCTGATATTTTCCTTCACATGACGTTGCAGTTTTGTGATCAAGATAATTCTCTTCAATGACTCTGTCCATTTTTAAATCCAAAGACTTTTTTTTACAAGATAAACAACTCTTTCCTGGTTGGTATTTCTCTTCTTCTCTTAAAAAATAAAAACACGGCTATGACCATAGTAAGATAATTTGAATTTTCTTTCTCTCTCATATACTTTCATAACTCTTCCCTTTTACCTTTCTCTACTATCTTGTTCACCAGGGAAACTTTTGTTCAATAGTTACTTCAATAATTTTTATATTCAAAAGCTTTATTTCTGTTACATTATTGTTCTTATTATTAATTATTTTAAATCTATAAAGAGAAGCACATTGTGAAATCCCTGGATTGTCAACTAAGATATGTTGATTCTTGTAACTGTTACATAAAAATTTTAGTTCATTATTAGTGTAAAATTACAGCATTCATTTTTCTCAGTTGTTTTCTAGAGGAAATGGATCAATCATGCCACTCATTTCTAAGATTGCATCAACCGTCCTTACTTTGATAATTTTGAACATGCTTTTCTCATTCTGCTCTACAGAAAAGGATACTTATACTTAAAGAAAAAGAAAAATATAATTCAATGTTTTGATCCCAACTGAAGTTATTTTTGTCTTCCGTTCTCCTTTTCTCACGATTTGTTGATCATTCACTTCCTTCTACTTTTCCTCCTCCTCCAATATGTTAGTGAAAGATATTTTCATTATATATCTATATATAAATATGCATATGCATATATTATACATAGAACATACTTTATCTGTATAGCTAAACATTTTCTAATTGCAACAAAATACATCAATTAATTTTAACTATATGCCATCAATGTCATGTTAATTTTTAAAAATATCCTGGTTTCACTGAGAAGCTCATATGGTTTCTCAGCTTTTAGGTTGAAGATTGGGTAAGAGATAAATCAGTATGTGACCCTCTTATTTCAAATCCAAATGAACTTTGGATTTCACACTATTGTAAGAACATAGCATGTTATTAAGCATCATCTTCTCGGACTGTACTTTTATTGTACTAGAAAAAGTTAAAATTTTTAAGAAATAATGTATAATTTTAAAACCAAGAAACAAATGAAATGAAAGCCTTCAGGTCTACAAGCATGTACTATTTTAAAAGTGAAATTTAGGCTATAGTGTTTTCCAAGGACTTTAACATGGAGGTTAACACATAACAAACCAGGACATAAGCATTTTCTCATAAAGTATCTTTACCATTAGCAGTAATCTGCAAACTAATAAAAGTAGTAGACTTTCACTCATTAAGGTTTGTGAAATCTGAAGGTGATCTATTTACACAATAAAAATATGAAAAGACTTGCTCCATCAGAGGGAAATTTTAGAAAGAAAGCACATAGATTCTATAAAACAGAAAATATGAATTTGTAGGTTCAAAGTATAGCACCATGAGAAAATTTAAAAATAAAAATATTTAGTGTAAAAACTAGACATTCAAGAAGGATGTCGAGGGAAAATATTTTGGAGATTTAAAAAAACTTGCTCTTGGAGTTAGTGGACATAAATGTATAGCTTGGCTGTGACATTTCCCAGGAATATAAGCATGAGCAGGCTATGAA